TTAAAGTATTGTTAAAGTTTTGGCTCATTATCTCGTCGAATGTCTGGCTTAGAGTGTGGAAAAATGTCTTTCTAAAAGTTTGGCTCAAAGTATTGCTAAATGTCTGGCTAAACATTTTGCTAAATGTCTGTGCAGAAAGTCTGGCTTCATTTTGGCAAAGTGTGCAATCCATCTGTCTTGCTATACTTTGAGCAACAACGTTTGTATTTTTCTCACCTGTTAAAAGGTCAATACATTTTTACTACCCATCGTAATTCTAAGCATCGGTATCTTATACATTTAAAATATTGTTGTCAATTTTTCGAGAATAATAACAAAAGTCTTACTAAAAAATTTGGTTTTACTTCTATTATCTTTACCTTTTTAAAGTTAAGCTCATATCCGTTGACTAGCATACGTAAGGAAACTGAAGCTGATAGTTTTATCACCACAATTTTTAATAAAATAATTAATATGCTTACATAAGTCGAGCAGTGGAAATATAAAAAATTCAACGATAAATAACGAAAATCTATGGTTGTCGCAGCGAAACTTGATCTTATGTCACGAACTCGGTAATCATTGCTACAAAAATAGTTAAAGAAAAATACAGGATCAACAAGTATAAACTTTTAGAAACTGGGCAATAAAGTTGGGATGGAGAAAAGCTCACTGCCTCTGTAAGCAAGAGCAAAAACTGAATAATTTATATGAAAAAAATATGGTCTATTACTAGAAAATAATAAATGTAATCCCAACTGATTACAAAGTAGATAATGCGAAAAACACATTTCTTTTTTTTTTTTTTTTCTTTAATCCATTAGACATGGCTAGTCTGACACTATAAAGTGTATTTACCTATACATTATTTAATTAGCAGTAGGTGAGAAAAGGTAGGTAAAAACGGTAGATTTTATGAAGCTTAAATCCTACCCAGAAAAAAACCTCACTTATTGATGAAAATTTTGGTCCAGAGTGGGATTTGAACCCCGGCCATCAAGATCTGTAGCCAGACACGCTACTGACAGAGCCATCATGTAGCTTCGAAAAACATGTTGATAAGAATCGTTAAAAATTATGGATAGCTTATGTATTTGTGAAAAAACAGTTTTGAAGACTTTATTGCAATGAGAGATATTTTATACAAGAGGCTGTCGATTTACCCTATCAACAATCATGTTATCAACCTACGAAACTATTTCTTTTCCAGTTAATATTAAGATCTTATATTATTAGTTAAGAAATCATGGAGCCACTTGTATACGTTAAAATGAATTTTTTTTAAGACTGTAAACTATTTTTGGAAGTATCAATACTTAGTATTCTATCTTTCTGTGTAATAAATAATGATTGTATTATGTATTTATTCATTAAAGATATTGTCCAGTAAGCACCACAGTAATTGTGTATGTTTGTAAAATGTATTTTTCGTCTTGCTGTTTTTCATTACGGTGACCACAGTTGTTGTTATTCATAGTGTGTGCTTTATTTGAATATTCCTGTAATAGTTTTACTTCTAAAAAATTGGCAAAATTCAGACACCTAGCAAATACTATTGTCTTACTTAAAAGTTGAGTATAATTTAAAATAATAAGTTATTGTTACTATTTTTTTTAAACCTGTTTGTAATACTGGCTCTAATTCTGTAACAAACACCAACTTTCAGAAAAACACGAATTTGCTGTACCATATTTAATGATTTGTACTATACGATTATAGATGTCCATTACTCGATTCTAATACCTAGTTGTGTTGAATTTGCGGCATTCTTTCGCATCTTTAGTTGTCAATCAATATTCTCTAGCATGAAATGATATAGGCATTTTAATTATTTATCTACAATTTTGCATCAATGAAAGAACATCGCAGTCTCTTTCTTGTAACCAATTGTCTCGCATTTCATCTTTATCCAATTCATAGTTAACCATGGATTCCATGAATATCAAAAATGAATCTATTAGCAGCAATAATTGCAGGTTTAGTGAAATGCCTTCTTTTATGACTACAGAAAGATTGACAAACTGCTCGAAAGTAGCTTTTGTGGCAGTAGTTGTTAGTGGCTAAAAAATGGTTAATGGCTCCAGGTACTTCAGGAACTGGATTATACAGAATACTTGAAAAGCCAGTCACATGTTATTCAATTAACTGTTGTCTTGTGACAGCACTCAACTCAAGATTGCTAGGGACAAAATGACCCATGCGAGATGTCTGACTGTATAAACTGCCATGCCTATAGACTACCTGCTACTTCGATTAAATATAACTGTAAGAAATTCATCTGACAGTCCCTGTCTTAATTTTGTTTAAAATATAGGCAAATCTTTCTGATTGACGTTTCTGTGTCCACCTGGAATAGGTACTCGATCAGAGTCCGTAAATAGTTCGTTTAACTCTTCGAGTGTCAACGATATTTAAACAACAATCTCCTTTTCTAGTGAGTCGTTCTCATTTTGGATTTTATATTACTTCATAGAAACTTTACGCATATAGTACAAAAATGCTTCTCGATTTTTACCTTGAATTCCATACTGTCTATTAACGAAGTGCAAACCAACTAGAAAAATTGGTAAAATACATCCTTGAATATATAAATGATTATTGCATAATCTGACATACTCTAGAAAAAATATCCTACACTTGATGAATGCATTAATTTTGCATTTGTTTGTCAATGATTGTACATTATCAAAAGCATTACATGTTAAATACGATCCATTTCTTGTCTGCCTCAAAAAATTAAGTCGAACGATCATGAGATTTCCCTAAATGTTCGTTATTTCTTGTAAAATGTAAAAATGACAGTTATTACAAATACGAGTATTAGCATATGTTTCTAATCGCTCTCCGTCGATCAATTGCCATTTTACGTGCATCAATATAGTCATCACCCAAAATTTGTCTTGTTGCTTGAGGTAAATATCTGTTATCGCATGCGTAATATCTTATGGGATCAGTAAAAGCTATATTTACTATGCTTCTTAAACGACTGCTAAGTTTATGGTGATCAATGTTTCATTTAGTATCTATTCATTTTTTACAATTTCGTTTGAAATAGTTTTTCATATTTTTCTTAATAAATATTTAATCATCAACTGATTCTACTCACATTAAGTTACTGTATTAAATCAGTACAATCAATCGAAAGATTTATGATTACGTTCCCTTTTTTGGGAAACGTATAAAAATCTAGAACTGTTGGTTCACTTAGGTAATAGTAGTTATTTGTAATGTAGTAAAACATTTTTTAATAGCGAATTATTATTTTTAACCCAACAATATATTTAAAAAAAAACTCCTTGTAGCATTGTACTAAATACTATGGCCCTGTTATAATTACTGCGATCCAATTACTATAAATCAGTAAAAACATAAAAATAAGTGTGAGAAGTTAAAATCGATTCCCTTATGAAAATGAAAGTAGTGAATTTTCAAATTATTATCATTTAAATATATGGTGTAAAAATATTTTAACTTGGTAAGTTGTTTTCTTGATTTGCTTTTGAATTGCCATTTTACATTTTTGAGATTAAGTAGATTAACAGAGCACTGTAAGAAATTGTGCTAATTACTACTGTTTATACTGCTATTAACAGTTATTTATAATAATGTTCATAATAAAATGCAATACGAAATCGTCATTCTCGTAATATGATGTTTTTTTCATTGCAAAACATCAATGCAATTCAGATTAATTCTTTAGACCTAGTGAACACGCATTATAAAAAAAATTATTCTTGAATCTGACACGTAAATAAGTGTTTAAAAAAACCTGTTTCGTCAAGACCTATTGTTGGATATTGTTAGAAGTGAAATGATCTAAATTTTTAGCTCACAAAGTAGTAAGATTTTAATATATGAAGAAAAACAGAGTCTTTAACGACCACTGTTTCAGGGGATTTCCCTGTGATAAGTTGTGATATTATTTTCCTCCAAATTCTTCACCTTCATCATTTTTTGCTTAAATCGCACGTGCTGTGGGGTCCCTTAACAAATTTCAAACACCAGCTCTCTGAGGCTCTATTTATGCGTCATTCATTTGTTTATACGTGTTTATGCGTTTCTAAATATATACAAATTTAAAGTATTCACATTTGGACTTGGATGTACAATCCACTGCACATTGGAAATCTCGAAGTATATTATGTCTTTCACGGTGTGGCCATAGCTTACTTGTTCTTACAAGATGTATCACAAGATATATTACCTTCTCAATTGGCATCCTGCATACCGAGCAATGTGAAACAGTTTCCGTAATGGACATGCAGTTGTATAAGTGTTTTTTGTGGTGCTGCCCACTATCAATGCAGTACAATTTCGATTTTTCACCAATTTATGAACTGAGATTGATTTTGGGATCAGTGATCCGTGCTCTAGATGCTGTCAAACTTTCGATGATGTGAAAAGCTGAATTTTTAAATAATAATCTTGTTGACCTAAATATGAGCTGCATAATGTTATTGATACTTCAACACTGACATCTTGACATAAAATTACAGGGTTACACACTAGTAGAAAAGGTAATCAACGGTCAGTAACAATTGATAAAAACGGAATTACGTAAAAACGAATCAGTATTTTTTCTCTACGATGATGCAGTTACTTTTCTAACTTAAATCCATAAAGCCATACATGTCTAGTAAAAAAATTTTTCAAATTCAATTCTTTTTACCTATCTCTGCTCAAGCGTAATTGCTTATTAGTCGGCCACCTTGCATCGCTTGTAGTTTTGATAATGGAAAAATTCTAGGAAAAATTGAATAACGTATTAACAAAAGTATGAACTTTTTATGTTAAACATTAATGTTTATGTTTTCTTCCTTATTTAAATAATATCATCAAGTGTAAGGTCAATATAAATCTTATTTAAATGGGTGTTTGTAATTTTTTTATTACTCTCTGTTGAAAAAACGATGTGCTGTCTCTAATTTTACATTTGTTTCAGACTTTATTTAGTGTTTATACGCTTTAATTTTTTTATAAATTCATATGAATAGCAAAATAAATTTTCACATTTTAGGTTTCGTTTCGTGCACTGCAACCAACCCAATTTGGTTTGTGAAAACAAGACTGCAGCTCAATCACCACACAAATCAAACCGGTGCTATTGAATGCATTCGGAGGATATATCAGCAGTCGGTAAGAGATAGTTGTTGATTACGATTTCGTTCTTAAATTAAGTACAATAGATACAATATCAAGAGTGTACATTATAACAATGATAAAATGAATGCATAGTCAACAATTATTTGAACCAAAACAAAATATATAATTTTAAACCATATTTTTTTCAACATAAAATTATTTATTTTTAGTACATTTTGTAGCATTGCAAGTTAATTGCATGCCCCGCAATATAGACTATTTGATAAATGACGTTTTTTAACGAAGGATGAGCTTACATAATTTTAACACGTATCTTAAAAAATAAATTTTTAACCTGGAATAGGTACTCGATCAGAGTCCGTAAATAGTTCGTTTAACTCTTCGAGTGTCAACGACTCGTTGGAGACTTGTAATAACTAAAGCAACTTAGGTAGAAAGTCATCTGCGGTGCGAGGAGACCAACATTAGATGTATATAAACTGTGTGTTTTTGATTATTGTTGTCTCAAAAAAGTATTTTTGAATTTTAAAAAAGTTTTTATTAATTATTTCTTGTTGGATACTAGCATGAAACAGAGCAACTTCACATTAAAGTTATTTGTGGGACGATGGCACCATCATCAGTTNAAAGTTACTAATGCAGAGACTGTGAAACATAAAAAAGTATGGTAATTATAAAGCGATATCGTACTCATGTGAATAGTCCGCATAACTTTTTAACGTTTTTAGGATATATTTTAAAAGCCCATAAAATTCGTATTAGAAATATTTTACAAACATGTATATGAGTGTGTGGGGGCGCGTGCGTATGTGTGTACGAATATGTGTTTGGTTAGATAGGTGGTTGAATTGTATAAACACAACCTGACCATACGTAAAGCAGAAAATTATATGTATGGAAGGGGAGAATTATTAGGACAAAACAGAAGTTATGCAGATATCCTTATTATTTCACCATATTTTAAATATATTTGCTAAAAGCACGTAATGTCTACATAAATCATTTTCCATGTATACATGATTATATACTTGTGGAGCTCCAACCACCTGTGCATTTTAGGCGTCAACCCCCTCGAAAAGTATTATGGCTTTAAGTTTTCAAAAAACTTTTGAAAGAACTTCCATTCTCGTTTTCAACTATCTTACTAACTACTCTCATAATGTTTTAACGATGATTGTTAGAAAATATACATTTTAGAAAATGTATTGAAGTACAGTTTTACAGGTCCCTATTTTATTTTATCATACAAATCTTATCCCATTATACACATTGCACTATTTTTCGAGTAGTAGTTTAAAAGCGGTGAATTGAGCCGCGCATTAAAAAAAAAGCCAGCGTGTGGAACTCAGAGTCCCCCGGATAAAACGGAGTTCTCGCATGTAAGTAGAATCACATATATACTGTAAAATACAAGGTTCATAAATACATGTGAGTTCAGTATGTATTTTTTTCGCGGGTTACTATGGTATATTTATGTCTTTCTTGTACATTTCTCATGTATGAAAGACTTAAAAACTTTTAAAAATACTTTTAAGGTTATTGTTAGGCAAAAACCAAGAAATGTATCCTACGTGTTTGTAATAGATTTGCAAATACGCTAAAATTTTTCACCTTGATTTATAGAGGAATATTAAAAATATTGATATTTGAGGTTATGTCTTCACAAAACTCAACATCTCTATTTTTGTGTGCGACAATATTGTTTTATCTTCACGAGATCTGTAAAACTTGTTACTTTTGCTCTATCTTGCTTCCTTTTGAAGATATGGCATATTTTGTAATATTTGGAGGATATACATTACTATAAAAACCCGTTAAATCAATCTTGGCTATCTGCATCGATCTACCATACATGCAGAAATCATTTGTTTATGTACTTTATTAAAATAGTATTCTTTACTAGTGTATATAGCATTAATATTAACTACTATATTGTATACACATGCGCGCAGGCAAACGTGTACACACTTGCACAGTAAAAATAAAAAGTGTACACACCACCCACACTCATTACACATGCTCACTTCCATGGTTGTATCCATGGTTCTATCAAGAAGTTACACACACAAACATACGTGCATATGTCACATCCTGAGTTGATACAGACGAATTATATTATAAATAAAAGCTTTCTGTCCGTTAAATTCATATAAGATTTTGAATATAAAGCAAGCTCATATGACAATAGGAGCTCATACGTCATTTATATTCGTGTGTGTAGAAGCTTTGAGGTGAATGTTTCATAAATGCTGATATATGTCACAGCCAACCTCTTTGTAAGAATGCACGTATGTATTAAAATCGTCTTGTATGTATAAATGAATGAATCGTATTGTATGAATGAATAAATAATTTACTTGCGCATTGATTGTCCACTTCTAATAACACCGATTTTAAAATTTGTAATCAACACACTATTTCATTATATTCAAAATTGATTGTGAAACCCCCAGAAGGATTAATTTCGAAATTTGTAAACTTACTGTCACAATTAAACTTGTATTTAGCGTTTTTATATTGCTGATGCGAGCTTTCATCATCACTAACCTAAAAAACTCAATCACACATGTCAAAAAAATACGGTTGGTACTGTTGTATTGTTGTTTCCTAATATATGAAATCATAACATGTAACATTATCGTGTAAGCTTACTGTTTTGCTGTCAACGCGATCTGCAAGAACAATGCTCATTGGTTGACCTAATCCAACCAAAGGCCTCTTTTACTCGCTCTGACGCTATAAAAACTCACCATCAAGAGGAAAAATTGCTCTTTTTACGTCTGTCATCTGTCCTCTAAAGTTTAAGTCTACTTTTGACTCCCGCGACTCGCGAGAGTAACGAATAACGTTTTGGCTGAGGCAACTCGGGTACACTTCAAGAGTATCAGTAATATCAGACTTCGCTAAGGAACGCGGTACAACGAAAGAGGCCCGCTGGAAGTGGATCGGGCGATAGCAGAGAAGGCAGAAACTGCAACATTTTACAGGCCATGAACTCATTCGTGTAGTTTAAGTAATCACTGGGAATTACTGCACAAAGCAGTAGGGAACTCCGAAGCAGCAGTGACAACAGTCAGTGACAGATGTTAGTTTTTTATTAGTAATATAACTAATATTAAAATCTATAAAGTGATCTGAATGGACTGTATCGAAGAGAAAACTTGTTTTGAATTGTTTTAATAAAAAAACTAAAAATTAAGCATTGATTAAATTATCCATTTTTTTTCAAATAATTTTTGTTACTTGACCAAATAAAACAAATAATGCTCACAAGCCGAATTCTAAGAGAACCACGAATAACATTAAAATAAAACGGTTAAGACCATACTTTAAACAAGTCGGGTCATAACAAAGTCGCATCCCTTGTGTGTTCTTCAAATCTTAGTTTTGTTAAGAAAAAAGATTTACGATAAATAACTAAATAAATTACATGTGTATAAATAAAAAAAAAAAAAATAAATAAAATGCCCGAAAATAGTGGAGAAAACTCGTCAGGGGACGACTCTTTTATACAACAGCTTTTAAATGTTTTACGAGGATTAAGTACGACTGATTCTTTAATGTGCATTAATCAAACATCTTAACACATACTTTTTTATGACGAATACCCGACTTCCTTAAAAAACTTTTTACAAGATGTAGAAAATGGACGTGTTCTAATAACAGCCGTTAAAAAACCTATGTACCTTTGCACAGTTATTTTTAGACTTAGAGGCAAAGCACGAGAAAAATTAGTAGGTTTTACTTTTGAATCAATTGATCAGTGAAAAAAACATCTAAAACAATAATTTTCACCAACCAAATCGTATCATGATTACATGGCAGAACTTCCAAATACTATAATGAAACAAAGCAAAACAGCTCAAAGTTCTTATCATAGAATAATTTCTCTTACAGAAACTACCTTAACAGCCCTTTTGACTGAATTAAATGATGACAAATTCAAGACAACACAAAAATCACAACTTGAAAAATTAGCATTACAAACGTTTATTAATAGTTGACCTGACTCGTGGAAATAAACTATAACACTTTCGAAACTCGAAGATATTCATAGAGCTTTAGAAGCTGCTTTACGTACTTAAAGCACTTGCCCACCAGTATACAATCGGGTCAAGTACGTTTACAAAGCCGTACCCACGACCTCTACTTCAACGACTCTTGAAACTTCGATACAAAACGTTATCGAAAATCCTGTTCCTGTCTCTACTCAGTTTAACCACCAAAAAAAATACGTCAGTTTTAATGACCCATTGACCCACGATAAAAATAATGTCAAGATGACTCAACCAAAATTCGACGAGTATGGTCGAAAAATTATACATCTCGCACTTAGCTACGCACCTCAACGACGATCAAGTACTCCGCCACCAAGCCGTACACCACCACCACCCTGGAATAATCAACCTAATCACTATTAATACCTTCCAGTTTTCCGAAAATTTCGATATTTTCAACCACCACCTTTTTATCCACCCTACTACCCACAAATGTGTTGTCACTATCCTCATACTCAAGGCTATACTTACCATCAACAAGCTCTAATTTAATACTACAACCAAAAACAATACTAAAAGTATCATCAAGAACTATACCGAGACTCTCGCCCTAATTCACTAAAAAAACGAGAACGAGACTCAATGGTTTGACGCGACTGCGAGTTTGAATCCGACGACGTGTCCAAAATCAATAATAGCAATGAAATCTACAGAGCCTTCCGAGCAAGAACAATAGGTAATTTACCAGCAGTTAAGTTACGTTGCGAAACATTTCGGAAAGATTCAGAAATTTTCATATTAGATTCAGGCAAACAAGTAAATGTCATCAGTTGTATTGTATTAAGGAACAGCACAGAAATTGAATGTGATATTACAATTGAATCCAAAGAAATAGCTCCACAGCAAATACACACTCTAGGTATTGTAACGGTAAATCTATTCGATACAAATCACAAATTTATGAGTTCAATCGCCAATAAATAATGTATATACTGTAGGAGATTCGTTATTTACACAAAAAAACGCTAGAATGGA